TGGGAGTTGTATTACTTTTCTGTGTCTACATGCACAGAACCACACTCTTATATTTGCACTTGTCAAAAGAGCTTGCAGGAGTAGTGGTTAGAGTGCTGGTCTGGGACTCAGGAAATCCAAACTGTTGTCCCCACTTGGCCATGAAGCTCACGGGGTGACTGAGCCAGCCACCACAGGGCTGTTGTAAGGATCCAATGAAAAGGAAGGAGGGATCATGCAGACCATCTTGGGTTCCTTGCAGGAGGGAAAAAAGTGGGATATAAACATATTTGGGGTACAATCCCTGCATGATTATTTGGAAAAGTCAGACCAGCTGGGTAATGCCAGGAGTTTTAGGACTTTTTGCTGTATAAACATGTATCAGATTGCACCCTTAAAATCTGAGCACCCCTACTGTATACACTTTGCTTTCGGGGTTGCAAAGCACATTCAGAACAGCCCAGAACTGGTTTAGCATTTGCTATTTAGGAAGTTTTGGGTTCCCTCTGGTGCCCCATCTCACCCTTTGGTTAATAGACTGTGTTTCTGTTCCATCTGATGAATCATCAGCATTATTTGTGTGCAATGGAACAAAAAACAAATCTCAAATAATTAAGCACTCTATCCAAAACTTGCAATCAATCCAGCATGAACTGATGAATCAAAGTGAAATCCAAATTATGTGGTCTGAATTGATAGTTTAGTCTGCTCCGCTGAAGTTCCCCTTTTGAAAAAAGGACAGGGCATTTTGTGATTCATATCCATACCCACTGTCATAATTGCATGCTAATTCTTTTTTAACGCCTACATATAGGGTGGCTTGCTTTCTCCCTTTTATTGTAGGCTGGATTTTTCATCTTGCCAAGGTTCTGGCAGATTCCAGAGCTTTTCTAAGCCATTGCAGCAGAAATTGCTTTCTTAAAAAGCTTCCCATCCAGAATTGTGATTATCCTCAATTTTATTCACACACATTTAATTTCACCTTTCTGCTTTACTAAGCTAGTCAGAGCTGGGGATGAAAAGTAGAGCATGATGGAGACAACTAAATCACTTCTGCTTTATGTAAATCTTGGGACATTTACTCACAAAGTGCACTGGACACCACAGAACCTTTTTGTTACTAGGAGCATAAAAATATGAACGGCTTCTAGTTGAAGCAGGGATTGTCACTCGCCCATTACAAAAATCAGTTAAACATCCAGTGGGGGGCAGTTTCATTTGGAGAAGTATATGAGACATTTTTCTGCTGGGAAGGCACCTGTTCTCCTTAATTCAACCTTCCCCAACCTGCTCCCCTTCCAGTGATTTTGATTTCAGGAATTCTGTGAGTTTTCATTCAAAACATCGGGAGGGCAAGCAGCTCATTGGGGAAGGCTGTCCTCAATAAAATCAGTTTTCCATGCAGCAAAGTCAGACCAGCAGAGGGTGGCAGAAATAGCACTGATGCAAGACTTTTATATACTATTTTTCAGGTGAGCTTGTCCCATCAGGACAAGATGGTTGTGGCCAGTCCTGCAGAGGAACTTGGGGGACACACTTCAGATTCGAAACAGGGAGCACAATGGTGGGGAAGCTCAACAAACGTTTCCCAATTCTTCCCTCAGAGCAAGACGATTCTCGAGTAGCTCTCAAGAATATACTATATTTACTAGCAAGGACCTCTTTGTCTGGAGCTGCGTACCTGTGGTTGCAATGTAACCACTAAAGGTGCTGCCATCTTGGAGTACCAATGTCCCTCTCTAACTCACGCAGATGGCAAATACAAAGGAACAAAACCAATTCAAGAAAATACCCACCAAATAGAAAATGCTGTGTGGAATTAAGGTGAAAGTGCCACCAGCTTCATCTGGGGTACCAAAAATGAAACTTGAAGACAAAAGACTTAACAGAGTTTATGGGAACAGTTTAGACTTCAACATATCAAACGAAGTGTCTGGGCAGTTCTTGTGCTGCCATGCCCCACAAAAATCCTTAAATCAACACCCTGAGGTTCTGAATACATAATTTTCATTAATCTAACTTGAGCAAAGAAAAGCTTCAGATCATGCAAACTCTATCATTTCTTAAGCATGCAGTTCTTCCAGATTTTCTAGTTAGATATAAAGCTAAAGTTTACTTTAAAAATCCTTTTAGTCAGATCAGCTTGTTTCTGTCAGAGTCGTGACTGAATGGAAATGCTTTCAGTTCTTTTCCCTTTTTTATATGCCTCAGATGATAATTGAGCAAAGTTTCCAGAGGGGGGCTGACTTGTTCATCAGTAGAGGTGGCAGGAAACCAAAATTTCACCATTTGAAACTCAGCCGCCCTGCAATCTCTTGGGACCATCTCTTGAAACTGCTTGCATTTCATTAGTAAGGAGGGCGATGGGGAAAAGTGAGAAAGCAGAGGAGAAAAAGATCTGGTATCCGGATGTATTTCTGAAATAACTACCATCTGCAGGAATTGCAGAAGCACAACAGCTTAAAAGGAAAGCACTGCCTGCATCACACTTGGGCAGCCAGATTTCAGTATACGAATATCTTTGGCATCAATAGCAGCAAGGAGTGGGGGGAAAACTGTAGGGGTGGACACAAATTAATCAGGTCAGGGTGTATTTGTACAGCATGTTTCTCAGTGGAAAATGCCAATTTTCATATTGGTTGCCGAGATGACAGACTGCTAGGAACCCTAAGTACTCTGCTCTGAGTTTCATGGAATCGATGTGAGATATAAATGTAATCCATTCATTGCTTACACATGATAAACTGCTGCTGTGGTTCTGTTCAAATTCAGCAGGACCTTTATGCCCTGAAATTCTGCAGCAGCTGGAAGAAAGCCAGAATGTGGTATGCTCACCCCAAATTTACTTATTATTTATTTTACAGGTCCACCATATATCAAGCCTCAATCTGGGTTATGCAAAGTATTTTGCACATATAATGGGCAATGGAAAATAATGAGCATCAGTCAGCTGCAGGACGGAGTGTGGGTTATAGCCTTGCAGCTATAAGGTATCTCTAGCCACTGGGAGTGAACCTTCATGATGGGATTAAGGGTCTCTTTCCATGAGGCATTTTATCTGAGGTTTTATTTATTTATTTTTAATAAAAAAATACCCTTTTATATGAGGTTCCTTTTCTGGCAGTTTTCCTATCTGTCATTCCATATGTTTCTATATCTTTTATTACACAAATGCAAGGTAGTACTGTGGTATATAGTGCAATAGAGACTTTATATGAGGCTTCCATGGCAAATAATGGCATCATTGGAGAAAATAGTGGAGTTGTTGCTGCTATATGCCATCAAGTGTCCCTGATTTATGAATAATTGCACCCCAAAGTACCCTGTGCCTTCCCTTTTGAGACAGAGCCACCTCATTGGTGGGTTTTTTCTCCTTCTACTTTCAGCTTTTCCTAGCATTACAGTCCTCTTCAGTGAATTTTGCCTTCTCATGATGTGCCCAAAGTATGACAGCTTCAGTTTCACCATTCTGGCTGTCAGGGAAGGTTCTGGATTGATTTGATCTAGAAGCCACTTGTTCATCTCAGTCCAGGGTATTCTCAAAATCCTCTGCCATGTTTCAAACACATCCATTTTCTTCTGGTTCTGCTTTCTTTGCTATCAGGCATTCACATCCATAGATAGCAACTGGAAATACAAGAGTGCGGATGGTTTTGCCTTTGTCTCCAGCAAAACATCCTTGCACTTGATGCTGTTTTCTAGTTCCTTCATTGCTGCTCAACCATGTTTCAGTTGTCGTCAGATTTCCTGGCTGCAGTCTCCCTTTGAATCGCTGATGGAGCCAAGGGGTGCAACATCTTCCATAATTTCAACTTCTTCATTCTTGACATGAATGTTGCAGTATTCTTCTGTCATCATGACTTTTGCTTTCTTAATATGCAGCTGCAATCCTGCTTTTGCACTTTCTTCTTTCACTTTCATCAGGAGTGTTTTCAGTTCATTGCTGCTTTCTGCCAGTAATATGGTAACATCTGCATATCTTAAATATTGAAGTATCTTCCACTAATTTTCCCTCCTTCTCTTTCTGATCCTAATTCATCTTTCCTCATATGTTTTGTTTCATCATAGGATTTTTGAGATATGAAATATCCAGAAGTGGTCTACTATTGCCTCCTTCTGCACAATACTAACCGGATATAGCTTGAGCTTCACTGCTACTGTCTGTGAAAGATCCTCCACCAGTGTCACCATCATCTACCACTGCTGCCCAGTAGCTGCCCTTCAGGAGCTTCTCTG